TCTATCAACAACTAATATAAACATATGTGTATACATACACACACACACACACATATATATGTATATATATATATATATATAATAGGAAGAGAGAGAATTGGAATTCTCCAAAGAACTAAACCCCTTTATTTTTATCATTGTTGTTGGTTATATCCTAATGGTAACAATCAATTATATTAGCAACAAAAATATATTGAAAAGTTCCCATGTGCCAGCTATGGAAATTTATAGATATTGACATCTAATATAATCCCCAAACTATAGTAAACTGGAATTCCTATGATGATTAAAGAAAAGGTAGTAAAAGACAAGCACAATACCAACAAAAGTAGTAGATGGATGGATAGTTTTAAAATCATTATTGATGAAGTGTATAACTTACAGCGATGCAAGAAAGAATTCAAACTAACTTTTGAAAATTACATTGTGGATTTTATACAGGAAAACATTACAATAAGGATTGTTATGTTTATTGAAGTATAGCATATATATCCCAGGTTATAAAGACCACAAGGACACTTTTCATCACAAGTCATTCAACATTTCAGAGGATACCACAAGCCCCACCTCTTTCTCCTGCTTTGTTTTTCTCCTGAGTACTAATCATCCCCTGGCCTCCTAATTGGTTGTTTCCTACAACTCTTTTGATGAGAAGCAAATCCTGTGAAGGCAGGATTTCCATGTTTTGCTCACTGCTGAATTACCAGTTTCCAGGTGCTCAATACTGTTGTGGATTGAATAAAATGAAGGCAGAAATTGAGGGTGTAAAAGGAGTCAGAATCAAAATGGAGTTAATTTGTGAAGCCCAAACAAAAACATAAACAATATAATAATAATAATAATAATAATAATAATAATAATAATAATAATAGAGCTGGGAGATTATGAAGGAGAAAATTATGTTTGTAGGGTGCTTGATAACAACAACCATTGATAAAAGACTACCAGAACCACAACCTTGCAGGAGAATACTTCTGCCAGGACTCCTATTCAGGAGTTGTCTTCTCAAATTTGTCACCAACCTTGTGGCCCAGGATTATTCTATCAAAGTAATTTACATAATCCTCCTCATTTTGCCTTTAAAAATTTCCCCTTGTCTCAACCTCTTTGAACACACACATAGTTTACCATGTCACATATATTTATATTGCAGTATTCTACTAGTTCCAAATAAATGTGCTAATCTTTGGAGAATCTTTCTCTGTATGTTCCTTAGATTGGCAAGACCCATAGAGATTAAGTGCTTTCTATTTAACTAAAAAGTGGCTGAACCAGTACAGTTATTGCAACACTTCTATAAGGCAGCACTTCCAAACTCTTATTCAGTCCTCTTATTTTCAATCTCTCTCTCTCTCTCTCTCTCTCTCTCTCTCTCTCTCTCTCTCTCTCTCCCTTTTTATTAGCAGTTGCATGGCTGAGAAATATTTCTGAATTGTGTCAAAAATCTATATCTATTCTTCAAGTATTTCCTGTACATTCTTTTGTAGTTGCTTCTAGAACTTCCATTATTACAAAGGGGAAATAGTTTTGTTTTGACTTTCAAAATTCCACAATCTTTGAAAAAAAACTACTCATTTTTTAAGAAAAAAATACTAGTCTTTAAGAAAAACTATTAGTTCATGAACAGTTAAATTGCTTAATGCCATTAGCCTGAATCAACCTTGTAAAGCTCTTTAAAGATGGACCAAAAGTAGCCAAGTTTCAAATCAGTTGAATTTGTAGCAATGTGATTTCTTCTTTAAAAATAAGAGTTGAGCCAGACATAGTGGCCCCGTGACTTGGGAGGCTGAGGCAAGAGGATGGAGAATTCAAAGCCAGCATCAGCAAAAGCCAGGCCCTAAATAACTCAGTGAGACCTTATCTCTAAATAAAATACAAAATAGGTTTGCAGATGTGGCTCAGAGGTTGAGTGCCCCTGAGTTCAATCCCCAGTACCCCCACCCCCCAAAAAAATATTAATAAGAAGAATTGATCCAGTTCCTTCTTGAAGAAATTGAGAGAGAGTAAATTGWAGTCAAAACTTAGGGTTACTCGGGAATTGTAGACATAATGAGGAAAGAAGCACCAAAGAAGTCACAAAATGAAGACAATGCTATGGGCAATCAATCAGACTGTTGCACCACTCCCACCCCCAAAGTGTATTTTAGAACATATAAATCTTTACTACAAAACTATTAATCAAATGTGAGAAAGATTTGCTAGAACAAAGAGACCAGGCCAGATGCAAACTTCACAGATCATTTCAGCCTTTATTCAGAAATGGGACTGCACAAACGGGAATGGACCCACTTTCCTGAACAAAAGAGGGGACTGGGCTTATGTAGGTTATACTGAGAGGTGACTTAATTAATGAGCGTGTCAGTTTGGGCACTCAAAAATTGGAGGTCTGTTTTACCGGGAGAAATGGGAGGGAGTCTAGGGTCAGCAGTCAGGCTCTGGGATTTATCTTATTAGACCTAATGGAGGGCCTGGGGTGGTTGATATCTGGAAAGGATTTGTTTACAGAAAGATTAATGCTTTGGCCTCTTCCCAGAGACTGCTTTTCTAAATTTTATGGACACCTCTTCCCCATGTTTTGTTTTATCACCCGGAAAGAATGTATTGGGAAAGGATCAGTGCTCTCAATGTATGCTTTCCTTTTCATTCCCCCAGGGCTCACTATTTTGAGGATTTGTCATTTTCCATATTTAATAAGAATACAGACACTTTCAGGTATGAAAAAGATAAAAAAAAATCACATACCCAGACTAAGATGATATTTAGAGAATTACCACTAAAAAAAACCTAAAAAACAAAACAAAACAACAACAAAAAAAGAATATGGGGTAATATGGAATACAGAAAAACCRTGGGTCCAATCAGGAGGGCAGTAAACCATCAGTCCAATCAGGGCAAAAAGACAGTCAATATAGGTAATAAATGGAAAGTCAAGAAAAAAGAATTAAAGGTGATTCTTTATAGAGGTCATGAAAATGGATCATGAAGATGGAGGCTGATTCAAAAGGAAATAAAATGCTAATACCTCCAGAGACTTCCACCTCCTCCAACCTGTTGCCAAGGTTATCTGCCTCCAAGAAATTGTTCCTCCCTGCAAGGAGTTGTTAATGAATATCCCCTGGGTGGCTCCCTTCCTGCTTGTACCCCTGGACAGTCCCTTTCCCACCTTTGGTTACTCAACATTTTGGTCACTGAGGAAAGATAAGAGGAGGAGGGGGCATGAGAAGAAAGGAAATCTGAAATCTATAAAAGGGGCAGGATACCCTCATTCCCAGGGCACCAGCTTTGGACCCCCTCCTCTACAAAGGAGCCCCCTCCCCTCCACCCATCCACTTCCCTCCTTTAAATAGAACTTTTTGCTTTTGCTTCAGCATTTCTCAGGTGTTCAATCTTCAACACTGGAGGAATGGGATCCAACCATGATTTATTTTCAACACAGGTACCAAAGGGGTGTTCTGCCCTGACAGTGACAGCAAACCTAGATGGCAATCAACTCATATTGGGGCAGGAGGATAGAGAATGGAAACTACTGGGGAAGAGAGCATTTGATAAAGTATCTAACATGACCGAGTTTGAGATTAAATGAGGYCGTGTTAAGGCAAATGTATAAAGGGAAAGGAAAGGCAATTAAAAACTCCAAGTGAACAAAATGGTATCTAAAGAAAATATAATCACGGTAGATTGACTCCATCTGAATGGTATTTACTTAATAACAATATACAGTTTAGAATTCTCCAAGAGGCAAAATAAAGATTTGATCAGGGTTATAACGGAATGAAATGTAAATAACACACATCATAAAAATAAGAAGAGTGATATCTAAAATGGGTAAGTGAAGAAAAAAGAATTAAAGGTGATTCTTTATAGAGGTTACCATTGGGTACAAGGGAGGATGGCACAAAAGATAGTTTTTTATGTTAAGCTTTTTTTTTAGAATTTCATTTTCTTGAAACAATGTACAGTATTATTACAACAGAAATAAATTCAAGCAAAGAGAGAGAATCCAATCATGGCTTAGTCAAACCTTAAATCATTTTGCATAGAAATTCATCTACTCATTAGAAAAGCTCAAATCCTTGTTGCCTTAGAAGTGTGCTATTTGAAGTTACTACCCAAGGGAGGAATTTATGAACATTACCCTATTTCTTGTAAAGATACAGCCATCGATAACAAGCTCAAATAACTTCTTTAAACCTAAAAAGGCAATGAGGCAGAGTGAAGATAAGAAGATATTTAGTTTTTGGAACTCAAAGATCAGTGAGCTAAAATGGCTTAGCTGCTTATACGTTCTTTTGGCAATGATGACAGTTTAGAAGTGAACAAAAAGAAAAAACAACGTTAATATCCCTGGCCTTCTCTCAACCTCAACATTTTTCGCAGCTGGAGATTCACATTGTTACACAGAAATGTTTAACACAAGCATCTGGGATTCATTCATGTCGATTGTTGCTCCTTAAGAAGGGCATTCCTTATTTAAAATATTAACCTTCTTTTAAGGACTATTTCAGAAGAAATGAATATCTCCTCCTTCCTATTCCTTGCCAATGCTCCATATCAAAGTTTTGACCTGCTCCAGGAAATTGAAAAGGAACTCCCTTTCTACATCCTAAATGTCTCTTCATTTCTTCTGTAAAAGCTTAAGGACCATCCTCAGGGTGAACAGCCTCTCCTGGATCCTCAAACCTGTTTCCAGATGTGAGCCCCCAAGGTAGAGAGCAGACCCAGGCTTCTAGCCCTTTTCCAGATGACAGCCTCCAGAAAGATGAGTGTGGTAGAGAGACCTAATCCCCTGATTCCAGATGTAGGCCAAAGAGCACATGAATAAATTGAAACATCTCCTCTCCCTACCATGTGTAATTCCCTAAGCAAGAAAACCTTCTGATGCCTGTCCAACAACACTCCACACTAAGTCTCCAGAGAGCTATGTCATCATAGATCAAAGTCTTATTGTTCTGTCTCTCTTCCTATTTCCATCCTCAACCCAAAGACACTCGATTCCTCACCTGGGTCAAGGTGCTTATCTCTGGGCACACTTTGGAGATTAGGTTATTTTGAAGACATAGATTCTTCAGGTCAGGCAGTAGTTCTAAAGTCGAGGGCATCTTTCTTATTTTTTTCCCATTCAAAGTAACGATCTGAGTTTGTCCATGACCCTTTATTGCTCTAATTAACAATCTCTCAGTCATGATCTTTGAAGAGAAGTAGAAAATGAAGAAAGTAATGTCACATCAAAGATTAGAGTTCTTTATTATTCATCTTTAGAATCTTTAACTGTAGAACTGGTGTGTCATAGAAACAGAAACATTCTGAGATCCTCCCTGGTGAAGGTGGGAGGCACTGGATGGTTTCCTATAGAAAAGGCAGAGGGGGAAAATAGCTGGTTCAGGTTTGGAGCAGGAAATGTGCAACATAAACCTTGAATACCTTAGGCCAGAGACAAAGATGTTATCAAAGACGAGATCACATCAAAAGGACACAGGAGCCAAGTTCTGAGAGCTCCACTAGTTTAAGATGAAAAATATTGAAGATCTGGGGAGGAAAAAATTAGAGTGGATTGAAACACATCAAACCATATTAAAATCTAAAGAGTTCAAAATGGTATTTTTTTTAAAGAAACTCATTAATCACACTGGGAGTTGCTAACTCAATGTGAAATTGATAAGGAGGAAGAAATTAAGCTTTATTCTGTTTTTCTAGTATAAACTGCATCAGCATAATCTAATAATTAATAAAGCTTTTATTCAYAGAAAAATTTAAGCTAATAAATACAGAAGGAAAATAGCTTTAGAAGATTAACTATTTTTGCAAGTTTCTAAAGCAATAAAGAATCTATGCAAAAATCAARTTGAATGCTAAAAGTATTCAATGAAAGGTTGCTAAGAGACTTTATAAGGAAGGAACCAAGTTAATAATTTAACTAACTAATCAATTTTAGTCATCATTAAAACTGGGGCAATCACATGTTATAAATTCTATGTAGGATGTAATAAAAAGTACACAGTACCACCAAATAAATTTTCTTGCCAAAAAGAAAAAAATTGAACCTGAATCTAATCATGGCTTCAAGATCTAATTACCCAGTTTCTAGACTGCATATTAAAATTCTTTTCAGGAAAGCATTCGGTTAAATCTAGAACATGGAAAATTTTATAGGGCCAATGGCACAAGGTCTCATCAACAAATCAATGATTTCAATAAAAAGAGAGAAAACTGCTGTGAAGAAAATGAAACRTAAGACAAATAACAGACAGATGCAATGTCAGACCTGGGCTGACTCCTGATTTGAATAAAAATATCTTGGAGTCAATAAAGGAAACTTATTCATGGACTGTGTATTAGGTAATAGGAATTATTAATCTGGTTTTCTGTAATAATGAAAAGGTGTATCACTTAGCTTAAATGGACTTAACATTTAGAAATGCATACTGAAATTTTCAGGTGGAATAAGATGATGTCTTGGATCTTCTTAAAATTGCCCAGGGGAAACAAGTGTTCAGAACAGATTGAACAAGATTGAGAAAACAYTGACAATTATCAAGGCTGAGTAGGAGGTATGTAGAAGCTCATGATGCTAGTTTTGTTATTATTGTGTACATTTGAAAAAAACAAAAAGAAGGATGTGGAAGCTTCAGCCGACGATATTTAATTATTACTAGAAATTCATTTTTGTCCAGATAGGAGGAGACTTGGAGGTATTTAGGGATATATATATATATGTATATATAATATATATATATATATATATATTATATATATATAATTTAGAGTGCTAATTTCCAAAAATGTAAACATTGTAAAATATATTCCATCTTGAAAGTATTCTGATCACAAGTCAACTGTTCCTTTGGTATTCAGGAATCACTTTATTCATTTATTCAACAACATTAAATTTATAGTGACATCATGCAAACATCATTATCCTAGCAGTAAAATAACAGGTACTGATTAATAGTGACTTTCAATTATAAGGAGGACAGATAAAACAATTTTCAGCTACCTCATTACTGTTCTTTGTCTTATCTCTTCCAAATCGATCGTTCAAATATAGTTTTAAAAGAATCAAATTATTATATCTAAACAAAACCATGTCTTCATTAAAAAAAAAAACACAAGAAAACCTCTCTTAATACCCATCACCTCTAAAGTGGTGTTGTAATGCTAGTACCCCAGCTGACACTAACCACCACTGGCTATGTGTTAACTGTCTTAAGTGGGTAGAGGCAACTCCAGACTGATTCTGTTTCCCGTTCAATTGCTGAACTTATAACAGTTTTTGCTTTTTTTTTGTGGTTTAAATATGAGGAGTCTCCCCCAAAAGCTCCTGCTAGTGCAGGAATATGCAGAGATAAAATGATTAGATGAGAGCTATAATCTAATCAGTCTGTCCTCATTTGAACCGACTGAATAGATAGCAACTATACACAGGTGCGATGTGGCTAGAGGAGGTAGGTCCTGCATCTTCCCTGCCTCCCCCTTCCTGACCTTGCCATGAGCTAAGCCCTTTTTCTCCCCTGGGTCCTTCCCCCATGATATACTGCCTCACTTTGGACCCAGAGCAATGGAATCGGCTGCATATGGATTAAGACCTCTGCAACAGTAAGCACCTTTCCTCTTCTAAGTTTTTCTTGTTGGATATTTTGGTCACAGCAATGCAAAAGCTAACTAAAACACTTTTCAATTCTAAAGAATGGCTCCTTTATATTTAACAATTCTTCCTATGCTCACTTCTCTCCTCTTATCTTTTACTATAGGCAGCTAGAAGATTCTTTTTTTTTAAATTTTTATTCTTAAGTTTTAGGTGGTCACAATATCTTTATTTTACATTTATATGATGCTAAGGATTGAACCCAGTGCCTCCTGCATGCTAGGCAGGCACTCTACCACTGAGCCACAACCCCAACTCCAGCTAGAAGATTCTTAAGAGCACTTTCAACATTCTGCCCAGAAAGCTCCTTAGCTATCATCTAGTTGATGAAATAAATGTTTTATTTTTCACTGTTAATACTGCCAGCATTGCTAGCTTTCTGCTACTATGTAACATTAATCACCTTTCTTCTAGCTTCCAACATTTTCCTTCCTTTAGACCCTCACTGACAGCCTCCTAGTGACATGTCTCTTTTTGGGGGGCAGGGAAGGGTCTACCAGGGATTGAATTCAGGAGCACTCAGCCACTAAGCCACATCCTCAGCCTTATTTTGTATTTTATTTAGAGACAGGGTCTCACTGAGTGCCTCGATTTTGCTGAGATTAGCATTGAACTGGAGATCCTCCTGCCTCAGCCCCCCAAGCAGCTGGGATTACAGGTGTGCACCACCACATCCAGCTGACATGTCTCCTTTTAATAGATTCTCCAAGGTCCTTCTAACTTGCATTCAAAGCCTACTCCCAAAACTACTGCTACATGGCTTAGGTATTTTGCTGTAGCAGCAAGTTCTGTATCACATTTCAATCCAAAAGTAAAATAAAAACAGTTAGAAATTATATGGAATATGGGATTCATTATAGGAATTTGACCATATGTATGCCTATTGCTTTTGTGCCTACTGCTGTGCCTGCCCCAACATCCAGAGAAGCCGAAAGAGAAGAGTTGTCAGAAATGGGAAGAAACTTCATGCTCAGCTGTGAATTCATTCCAAGGAGTGAGTTAGCAAATCAKCGACAGAGGGCATGTTATTAACAATTGATGCCTCTGCACCTATTGCATTGATTTTCCAAGCTGTCACTTCACATATGGCTTCTAAATTTTTTGCACAATGTCTCCTGTATCCAGGATTGGTCTGAAAATATTCAGGAAGAAGATCCTGAGATAAATCCAAGGTAGCTAATAGTGTACAACACAAATCYACCACAATAGCACCCTTCACACCTGTCTGCTTCTCTTTCCACTGTTAATATCATATTCCAAACTCTCATCATTTTACCTGCTTCCATTATACTCTCCCAGTCATCAGTCATCTTTCTACTATATGTGAACAGAAAATCTTTGCAGTGTCTCATATTGCTTATTAATTAAAATACCAGCTACTGAATTCATACTAAAGACTTATGACAGGATAGTCCCAGGGACATCACATGTCATTTCTTTACACAAACCCTGTACTCTGCTCTTAGAAAACCACTTGCTAGTCCTCAAGGACATCAGATATATTTACCCCATTCCTCATGCTGCTTATTTTGCCTATATGACTTTTCCTCCTATCTACCTGCCTAACTTCCTAATCCTTTGAGGAACATGATCAAATATTTCCACACTGTTTTCCTGGAACTGTGACCTTCTCTCCAGGCAGAATTGTTTCTACATCTATGTTTAAAGAGGACTTTAGACAAATTCCAATTGCTAATTTTGTTCTTTTCGTATCTCTCCCTGCTATACTAAGCCATATTTGAATGGAAATCTCCAATAGCATGCTTGGCATAGAGCAGGCATTCAGTAGATGTTTATGAAATTGAAATGACAATTTAGCTTGAGGTGATGTCTGAAAGAGCATGACATATAAAATACAACTGTGACATAAAGTTCATGCAAATATAGGAAAAAAGAAAAGAGAGAGGCCTGTAAATTAAAAATATCAAGTGACTACTATTTGTCAGACACTGTCCAAGATGTATAATGTAGTCATCTCTGTGTGTGCAGGTTTTGCATCCACAGATTCAAAACATCGAAATCACAAGTATTTAGAAAAAAATAACTGTTTGCACTGACCATGTGCAGGATTTTTGGGGTCATTATTCCCAACAATGCAGTCATAATGACTATTTACATAGCATTTTCATTGTATTGGGTATTTTAAGTAATCTAGTATATGGGAGGGTATGCATAGGTTACATAAAAATAATACAATATTTTATATAAGGGACTTGAGCATCCACAGACTTCGGTATCCAAGTGGGGTCCTGGAATCAATCCCCTGCAGAGTCTGAGGGACAAATACATACAAATAAGACAAAGTCATTGTCCTTAAAGTGCTTAAATGTCTAGATTRAAGGTAAAAATGAAAATAGATCAATTTTTATTAAATATTGAGTACCATTACATTCCAGAAACCATTATAGCACTGAGGCACAGGGCACACACTACCTGGCTTCTCTCATGAAGCTAACACTGCATTACAATTAAGTAAATGCTAGTTTAAATTTAAAAAAAAAAAGGGGGGGTGGTGAAGAGCCTGATCCTGTTGGTTCAATG